AGAGGTAGGAGTGAGAGGAAGGTGTCTTCATTCACAGTAACAAGGCAGAGTGCTGTTAGGACACTGTGGAGGGCAAGAGCAGAAGAGGAAAGTAGATTAATGAATGGGGAGGCCAGGAGAGAGATTTTTATCTGGAATCTGAAATCATTGTAGCTGCCTTGGTATTAAACTTTATAATTGTGTGTGATAGCTTTCTCAGAAAACAGCCTACTCACACTTGGGTGCTTTATTGAATGAGGGTCTAGAGTAGTACTGGGGTCTCAACCCAAGGCTTTGCATATGCTAAGTCTGTACTCTACTACTGAGAAGCACTCCTAGCCTGTTGTCACTTTAATTTCCAGAGTCTTAACTGGATATGTCAGAGAGGAGAGGAGGAAAGGGTTTTTCCTTTCCTAAGTCAGCATTTAAGAAAACCTAAGGCAACACACTATTGTATAAGAAAGACCCAAAGGGATTGGGGAAGTTTGTTGTCCAGGGAGTCTTGTCTGATTTTAAAAATGTTCCTCCCTAGATGTCTTGAAATTGATGTTCTTTTGCCAGTACCCAGGCCCACCGCCTTGTCCAAGGCTGTCTATTCTGGTTTTCGGTGACAGCCCCTTAACTTAACTGGTTTCTAAACTTGTCTTCCCCTCCCTAGCACTCTCTACACAATGGCTGATGTGCAAGATCTCTTAGAGACATAATTAGCAACATGAGCCTTTTCTGATTTAAAGGCCTTAGTGTCTCACTGAGCATAGATATCTTCCATGATGAGGTCTCTTCCTATCTGTCAAAAATCCAAATTATTACCAAGCAACCTTGGAATATAGAGTTAGGGTGGATCTGTGAAATGAGGGACAATGTGAAAACCGTTGATCAGTTGAAGACATTTTTTTAAGTTCAAGAAATAACAATTTACGGAAATTAAAATTCCCTATTTTGTATAATTTTTTCCATTCTATGTATCAGGTGGAGCAATCACCTGTGACCATTTTGATCTCTTGGTGGTAACTTCAGTAGATAGCTGAAGGAGGTATACACTTACCACAGAACAACTCTCCATACAGAAGAATCACCTCTAGGAAAACAATTTAAAGGAAGCTCGTTCAACTCTTGACCTGAGATTCCTTTCCTATCTACCAACATGTGAGGTCTTAAAATCTACCTGGGTCCTTTTCCTATCCTCCTACAGTTTTCATTGTATGAGTTTTACACTCTGATTAAAGAGGAATATACAATTAAAAGTATGAAGTGAAAAGTAGAGGAAACTGGTATTTTTAATGCAGATTATTAATATAAAGATTATTAGCATAATAGGTATGTATAATAGATACTACTTTTCCCACTTTTAAAAAAGTGAAATTGTGGCCTCACTAATTAGAAGGTAACATCATGGGTTCACATGTTGGCAAGGGCAAAGCCAAACAGTATGATTAGGGGCTAAGACAGTGGGGAGAGATTTGTTACTTTCAACAGGTAAGGGGAACTCGGAGATCATTTTCAAGGCAGTATTCCCTCCTCAAATAAAGAAAACAGGGGCTTTTATTGAGGAAACCTATACATATTCATAAAAGGAAAACTGAACACAAGTAGAGGGTATACATGCTCAGTTTGGGGTCATCAGCACCTGTTCAAAAGAAAAAATGGGGGCATATTCATCTCTAGGCAGAGAATTTAACATTATAATAAGAAAGTTTGCTCCAGGACACCTAAAAAGAATGACCCAGAGTGGCAGCTGCCTTTAAATCTCTCTGAAGAGCCCTAGTTGAAATTTAAATATATGTATATTTGTGGATGCATTTCCAATCTTTTAAAGTGGATTTCTCCCCACTCCACCTCCCTTCCCCAACCCCTGTGAGTGGAGAAGCCCATTCCTAAAATTGCTTTCCTGGATTATCAGTTAACAAAGAGAGGGTCTGCCAGTAAATGGATAGCTGGAAAAGGGCAAAGAAATCCTATGATCTCATTTTAAGGGCTTTTCAAGTTGGCTAAGATTTCTAACCAGCCCAGATAACATGAGGAGCTGGGGGCAGGTAGATTCTGAAGCCTGCCAGAGGTTTTTTCTAAGGACTTAAGATCCACAGTTTATCCAAGAGTCCTAAGACCCACTTTCTGCAGAGAGTTTGGACACATCGAGAAAAACCCAGTTAATATCAGCAATGCTCTGGAAACCAGGAAGCAGCAACAAAGTGAAGGCTGATTTTTGCTACAGGGAAATGTATATTCAATCTGGGTGTTTTTCTTTACAATAAAAGATAATGGTGCTAATCCAAATGAGAGCAGCACACATGAGCAGAAAGCTGATGACCAAAGGGGAAGATTAATGTGTACTTCAAGGCAGTTGTTACAGACTGGGTCATCTAATCCCAATCTGCTATATCCACTAGAGCCTGGCTACTTTGAGGTTGGTGTGATGCTGAGGTGTTGTCCTTACCATAAACTGTTTTGTCTTCCGTATTGGTGTTAGAAATAAAGTTTCTTTCCTTTCTCTGTTTTTTCTTTTGCTTTCCTTCCTTTTCCTCCCTCCCTCCCTTCCTATCTCTATCCCTTTCTCTCTCCTTCCCTCCCCTCCCTCCCTCCCAACCTCCCTCCCTTCCTTCCTTCCCTCCTTCCTTCCTTTTTTATGTAACATATTTCATCTGGATGGTGTGCCTTGGTCACACCTGTCTAATGTCTTAGTTTGTGACTTGTGACTTGTGAATTATGAAGGCCCAGCACCTCTCTGAGGAAGGTTGTGAGACCCCTCGTGAGGAACTAAGCAGCTGTTTGGCCATGTGAGTTGCACACTTAGCCCAGTCACAGGGAAGGCAGACTTTACTCACAGACTTCTGACATTGTTTCTGTATTAAATCTTAGCCTTTAGTTTCTGTAGGCATGGGTGATTTTTCTTGGGTATTTGAGCTCCAGCTGTGGCCTTCTATAGAAGAAAGCCACAAAAACTCATCTCCATCTTGAGTCAATGAGTTATTTAAAGTCAAGCAATATGCTACTTGATTGTCTTAGTAAGTCTTGGGAGAAGTTTAGAAAAGTGTCCCCACTGGCTGAGCATCACATGGGGGTGGCAGCAGGAGAAGTGATGACTGGTGTTGAATTTGGATATTTTGGTTTCTGACGGTAGGGAGATGGCTTACAAAGTTTTTTAAGTAAAGGACAAAAGTTCTTACTTACTTGTACCTTTTCTTCACTACTTCATGGGAATAGAATTTTTACTGATTATTTCCATTGCCTGTGTTCACAGATTAAAACTCAGCTTTAATTTCCTAGTTATAATCTGTTAATATTTTCTTACTTTTCCAGTTTTAAAATGAATAGAGTGTTGCAAATGCTAAGTTTTGGGAAATAGAAACAATTATTCAGAGATTAATTTGAGCTTTTGCTATGACATGCCTGTGTATGGTTTTCTTGTATTTATCCTGCACTTCCTCAATTTGTGACTTGAAACCTTTATCCGTTTTGTAATATAATTGGGCAGTATTCTTCTTTGCAGGGCTGGTGAAGTGGCTCAAGAGATAGAGTGCCTGCCTAGCAAGAGTGAGGCCCTGAGCTGAGGACCTTCAATAAAAAGAAAAGAAAAGAAAGCCTTATTCCTTATTTCCTGCCTCTTCTCCCTCCCTCCTTTCTTTCTTCCTTCTTCCTCTCCTCCTCTCCCTTCTTCCTCTCCTCCTCTCCTTCTCCTTTTCTTCATTTTTCTTTTTTGTGTTTTGGAACCCTGGGCCCAATGCATTCTAAACATTTACAACGCCACTTCCTGACTCTCAAGCCTAGATGAGTGTTTCTTTTAAATGCTGATCCTGTACCATGTCTCATCCTGTCACAAGTCTCCAGGTGCAGCTATGCCATACCCTTTTCCTCATATCCCCTAGGTTCTTATGCTTTTTCATTTAGTTCTCTTTCTTGTCATGTTAGACTTTTTTCTCTTTCCATGGTGATAATTTTCATCATTCAGTACTTTCATTCTGGATATTTTCTATGCATTATCCTTAAAGTTCACTAATTATCTTTCTTAAACTGTGTAAAACTCCTGCCAAACTCATCTATTAATTCTCAAGTTTGGTTGTTTTAAATTGATTCTGGTTCTTTGGTGATAATATACCTTTTCATTTTGTTCAATATTCTCTCTCTCTCCCTCAGCAGCACTGGGATTGCACTTGCTAGACAGGTGTTCTACCACTTGAGTCATGCCTCCAGCCCCTGTTTTTGAAAACGTGGCTAGTTGTTTTAATGTCAATGTTTTATAACTCTACTCTGAATTACCTGTGGCTCTGTTTCTATGTTTTCACTTTTGAAAGTTTAGGTCATGTTTTCTGCCATAAGTGAAATTTTTTTATTGAAATTTTGCTTGACTTATTTTTGAAGGTAGATTTAGCTGTCTTCTTGCAAAGTCTGAGCACATCACCTTGATTAGGTAGTGGCTGGTCTGTTTTGGGTTTGATGATATAAGCAGGGTATAACTCTTCTGAGATCTCAAAGCTTGGGGATTCCAGGGTTCTTTGTCTTTCCTAGGCTAACACCTCCAAATTTTGTCTCCCAGCTGAGAGACTGTTGAAATGTTTGTTCAGAATTATTAGAAGCTTCAGGAAAATACCTGTAGCAGCCTCTCTGCCTGGTGTTCCTGAATTGTCCCTGTGCACATGCAGTTTGTGTGTGCAAATACCAGGAGAGGAAAGGGCACAGGGGTAGAGTTTGCCTCTGTGCCGTTCCCTCCTTTCCAGGACTTTGGCTGCTCCAGTCCTGGCTGCTCTGGCTGCTGTCATCACAGAACTCTTCACACAGTTGCTCTCATGCTTTGTCCTCGTGTGGTTGTTCTCAGGAGGATGAGTTGTTTGGAGCAGCCTCTCCATCAGAAGCCAAGAGAAAGTTCTTCATGGATGACCTTACCTTTTAAAAACGAAAACTAGGACAGGGCATGGACCTCACACCTGCAATCCCAGGTAGTTAGGAGGTAGATACCAGTAGGATCACAGTATGTGGTCAGGTGGGCAGAAATTCAAGAAAGCCTCATTTCAACTAATAAGCAGGGCATGGCGGTATGGGCCTTGCATCCCTTGTGGGAGGCTTAAGTAGGTGGATCATGACTTGAGGCTGCCCCTGAAAAAAATGCGAAAACCTATCTGAAAAGTAGCTAAAGCAAAACAGGGCTAGAGGCATGACTCAAGATATAGAACACCTGTCTAGCAAGCTCCAGGCCCTGAATTCAAACCTCAGTACCACCAAAAATAATAAATAAATATATAAATGCAAACTAAATTTATTGCAGTCAGCATTTCAAACCATTTTACAAGTCAGTTTGCCTTAGGTATTATTCTAATTAAGAATTTTAAGGGGCTTTTATAATTTGTTTAATGGAAAAGTTTATTTTTTTCCCTTTATTGTCATGCTGGGTGGGGTACATTGTGGCATTTACAAAGGTTCTTACAATACATCAAGTATATCATACTTGAATTCACCACCTCCACCACCCTCCTTTATCCCCCCTCCCCTGATTCCTGAAATAGTTTCAACAGGTATCATTTTGGCATTTCATACATGTGTACGCATTTTTTTGCACCATATTTACCCACCTACCCTCTTTTGCCTCCACCTCCCCCCACTCTCTGGTGCCAACTCCACTCCTGGGAAGATCCTGTTCTGCACTACTATTCTCTGATTTTGTGGAAGATAAAAGATAAAAAGAAAAACAAGACATTTTTGCATTTTTGTGATAAAGGTAGCTACACAGGGAGTTAACTTGTGATATTTCTATGTATATATGTATTATAACCCCAAATGGTTCATCTCCTCTAATTTTCTTCATTCTTCCTTAGTCACTTTCTTATGGTCATTTCAGCCAGTTTAAGATTTCTGTACTTATTCTTGTATAGAGAGTATATCAACTATATTTAAGTTCTCAGTTTCCTTCTTTTACCCTATCCCTCCCAGGCATGACCTTCCCATAGTGTGACCAGTGTTTCATAATATTACTGCATTTGTATTAGGTCTAGTGGCTTTGGCCTTCTGATCCTGGCTAACCTCATTTCAGATAATGTTCTCCAGTTCAATTTACCTGCAAATGACAAAATTTCATTCTTCTTTATGGCTGAGTAAAACTCCCCTCTATATAAATACCACATTTTCTTAATGATAGTAGATGAGTTGGAGCATCTTGGCTATTTTGATAGCTTAGCTATTATAAATAGTGCTGCAATAAACATAGGTGTGCAGGTGCCTTTGTTGTAAGCTGACTCAGATCCCTTTGCTTATCCCTAGGAGTGGTATGGCAGGTCTATTTTTAATTTTTTAAGAAACCTCTGTACTGTTTTCCATAGTGGTTGTACTAGCTTACATTCCCACCCACAGAGTGGAAATGACAGTTCCTTTTCCACCCCCATATCCTCACCAACATTTGTTGTTGTTTGTGTTCTTGATGGTAGCTATTCTAACAGGAGTGAGGTGGAATCTTAATGTGGTTTTGATTTGTATTTCCTTTACAGCCTGGGATGTTGAGCATTTCTTCATTTTTTCTTTTTTTTTTTTAGCAATTTGGACTTCATCCTTTAAAAAGGCTTTTTTCAGTTCATTTGAAGAAATGACTCATTTCTTCATTGAGTCACTGATTTTTGGGAGGGAGTTTAGTTTTTTGAGTTCCCTGTGTATTCTGATTATCAGTCCCTTGTCTGATGTATAGCTGGCAAAGACTTTCTGCCATTCTGTGGGAAGCCTCTTCAATTTAGAAACCATTTCTTTTATTATGCAAAAGCTTTTTAATTTCCTGTAGTAACATCTGTCCATTCTTTTTCTTAGTTGCTGAGCCAGTTAAGTTCTATTGAAGAAGTCATTGTCTATACCTATTAATTCCAGTATATTCCCTGCTCTTAACTGCACTAGTTTTCAGATTTCAGGTCCTTAATCCACTTTGAGTTGATTCTTGTACAGGGTGTCAGATATCGATGTAGTTTCAGTTTTCTGCAGGAAGACATCCAGTTTTTCCCAGCAACATTTGTTGAAGAGGCTGTCTTTTCTCCATCTTATGGTTTTGGTGCCTTTGTCAAAAATTAAGTGGACATAACTGTATGGATTCATACCCAGGTCTTCTATTCTGTTCCATATCTGTTTTTATACCAGTACCCTGCTGTTTTTATTGCTATGGCTCTGTAGTATAGTTCAAAGTCAAATATTGTGATACCTCCAGTGTTGCTCTATTGCTCAGAATTGCCTTAGCAATTTGTGGTCTTTTGTACTTCCAAATGAACTTTAGGGTAGATTTTTCAATCTCTGTGATGAATATCATTGGAATTTTGAGGGGAATTGCATTAAACATGTAGATTGCTTTTGGTAGTATAGCTATTTTTACTATGTTGATTCTACCAATCCATGAGCACGGGAGATATTTCCATCTTCTGTAGTCTTCTTCAGTTTCTTTCTTCAGTGGTTTATAGTTTTCCATGTAGAGGTCATTCACATCCTTTGTTAAGTTTATTCCTAGGGTTTGTTTTTTTTTTGAGACTATTGTAAATGGAATTAATTTCCTATATTCTTTCTCAATCTGTTCATTCTTGGTGTGTAGAAAGGCTACTGATTTTTGTAAATTGATTTTGTATTCTGCTACATTGCTGAAGCTGTTTATGGTGTTTATGAATTTTTTGGTGGAGTTTTTGGAGTCTTTTAGATATAAGATCATGTTGTCTATGAATTGGAATAGTTTAACTTCTTCCCTTCCTATTTGTATTCCTTTTATTTCTTCTTCCTGTCTTATTGCTCTGTCTAAGAATTCCAAGACTATGTTGAATTAAAGTGGGGAAAGTGGGTATCCTTGTCTCATTCCTGACTTTAGGGGAAATGGTTTCAGTTTTTCCCCATTAAATGTGATGTTGGTTATGGGTTGACATAGGTAGCCTTTATTATGTTAAAGTAAATGCCTTCTATTACTAGTTTCATCAGAGTTTTTAATCATTAAAAGATATTGAATGTTATTGAAGGCTTTTTCTGCATCTATTGAGCTGATAAAGTGGTTTTGGTCTTTGCTTTTGTTAATATGGTATATTATATTTACTGTTTGGCATGCGTTGAACCATCCCTGCATCCTTGGGATGAAGCCAACTTGGTTATGGTGAATGATCCTTTTGATATATTCTTGAATTTGGTTTGCCATTGTTTCATTGGGGAGTTTTGCATCTATGTTCATTGAAGAGATTGGCCTGTAATTCTTTTGTGTGTGTGTGTCCTTGTCCAGTTTTGGGCTGAGTGTCAATACTGGCTTCATAGGATGAGTTTAGCAGTACTCCTTTCCTTTCTATTTTGTGGAAAAGTTTAAGGAGTGTTGGTATTAGTTCTTCTTTAATAGTGTTGTAGCATTAGTGAAGAATATGTCAGGTCCTGGGGTTTTCTTTTTTAAGAGACATTTATTTCATTGCTGCTTCAATTTCATTGCATGCTATAGATCTGCTTAGGTGATTAATATCCTCTTGGGTCAATGTTGGATAGTCATATGTATCTAGAAATTTGTGCATTTTTCTAACCTTTCCAATTTATTTGAATCTAGGTTTTCAAAGTACTCCCTGATGATTCCCTTGATTTCCATGCTGTTTGTTGTAATCTTCCCATTTTTGTTTCTGATTGTGTTGATTTGGGTTTTTCCTTCCTCACTTTAGTCAGATTTGCAAGGGAAGGGCTCCCTGATCCTGTTTAGTTTTTCAAATGACCAACTTTTTGTTTCATTGATTTTTTGTTTTTTTTGTTTGTTTGTTTGTTTTTTGTTTTCTATTTCATTGGTTTAGGCCCTCATTTTTTATTATTTCTCTCCTTCTGCTTGTTTTAGGTCTATCTTGTTGGTGTTTTTCTGAGAGGCAGCATTAGGTTATTTTATTTGAGATCTTTCTGTGTTTCAATATATGCTGTCATGGCTATAAACTTTCATCTTAGGACTGCCTTTGCTGTGTCCCACAAGTTCTGATAGGTTGTGTTTTCATTCTCATTAAATTCCAGGAACTTTTTGATCGCCTCCATTATTTCTTTCGTGACCTGCTGATCATTGAGGAATGCTTTGTTAGCCACCAGTTGTGTGAGTATTTTCTGTTGCTTTTTTTGTTGTTGAGTTCTAATTTTATGGCTTTGTGTCCAGACAATATTTATGGAGTTTTTTCAGTCTTCTTATATTTGTTGAAATATGCTTTGTGCACTAGGATATGGTCTACTTTGGAGAAAGTTCCATGAGCTTCTGAGAAGAGTATATAATGTGCTGCTACAGGATGGAATACTCTGTAGATACCTGTCAGATCCATTAGATCTATGGTGTCATTCAATTCTAGAGTTTCTTTTTAAATTTTTTTTGTCTAGATGTCCTATCTATTGGTGATAGAGGAGTATTAAAGTCTATCATTACCATTGTGTTGGGGTCTATCTGTGATTTTACATCCATTAGTGTATTTTTAATGGAGTTGGGTACACCAACATTGGATGAATGTAAGTTGATCATTTTTATTTCCTCATGATCTATTGTTCTTTTTATTAGTATAAAGTATCCTTCTTTGTCTTTTTCTGACTAATTTAGATTTGAAGTCCACTTTATCGATATAAGTATTGATACTCCTTGCCTGTTTTCAGGGGCCATTAGCTTGGTAAATCATCTTCTACCCTTTCACACTATGATAGTGTTTGTTTCTGTCAATAAGGTGGGTTTCTTGTAAACAGCAGATTGTTTCTTTTTAATCTAGTTCCCAAAACAGTGTCTTTTGACGGGAGAGTTGAGTTCATTAATATTTAGTGTTAATATTGAGAAGTATGTAGTGATTCCTACCATTTAGTTGTTTTTGTTATTTAAGGAATTGTGTATGTGCAACCAGTTCTATGCTACTCTCTATATACTTGTTTGTTCTTCTCTTGAGGTTGATACTTCCCATCCTTTTGTGGTTATGTTTGTTTTTGTCTTCTGAATGCAGGACTCCTTTCAGAACCTTCTGTAATGGTGATTTGGTGGTCATATATTGTTTGACTTTCTGTTTATCTTGGAAGAGTTTTATTCCTCCATCAATTTTGAATCATAGCTTTGCTGGGTAGAGTATCCTAGGACTGAAATTGCTTTCTTTCAGTGCTTGAAATACCTCACTCATGCCCTTCTTGTTTTTAAGGTTTCTGTTGAGAAAACTGCTGTTTTTGTGATGGGTTTATCTTTATATGTTATTTGGTTTTTCTCTCTTACAATGTTCAGTATTCTTTTTTGTTCTTTATCCTAGTTATTTTAATGATAATATGCCATGGAGAGGTTCTATTTTGGTCATATCTGTTTGATGCCCTGGAGGCTTCCTGTACCCGACTGGAGATATCTTTCTCAAGATTTGAGAACATTTCTGGTGTTATTCTGTTGAATACACTGCCTGTACCTTTGGCTTGCCCCTCTTTTCTTACTTTGTGGCCCATGGTTCACAGGTTTGGTCTTTTGATGAAGTTGCAGTGTGTTTGCATATTCCTTTTGCAGCTCCTGTGTCTTTTATCTAAGGATTCTTCTGTTTTTTCTTTAATATATATTTTGTTTTTGAGCCTTTAAGTCTGTCTTCTACTTGTTCATGTCTGCTGGAGTGACTTTCAACTGTACTTTTTATTTGATTTAAGGAAGTTTTTATTTCCAGGATTTCTGTTTCTTTTCCTGAGGTTTTCCATATCTTTGTTGAACTCCTCTTTCATATCATGCGCTGCCTTCTTTACTTCATATATCTCCTTTTTTGTAATCTTAATTTCAGTTTGAAGTTTGTTGAAGTCTTTTCTGAGTTCATTTAGTTGCTTCTGTGTCTTGTCAAGTTTTTTAACTGTGTTGTCTTGATATTCCTTGAGTTGTTTATCTCATGTTCTCTTTAAGCTTCTCATGAAGCTCCTCCTTGAGTAATTCTATGAGATGTTTTTTTGAGATCCTCTTTAAGCATCTCCTTATGGACCTCACTGATCTTTTTTGTTATTTAAGGATTTGTGTGTGTGCAACCAGTTCTATGCTACTCTCTCTGTATTTGTTTGTTCTTCTCTTGAGGTTGATACTTCCCATCCTTTTGTGGTTATGTTTGATTTTGTCTTCTGTGTGCAGGACTTCTTTCAGAATCTTCCGTAATGGTGATTTGGTGGTCATATATTGTTTGAGTTTCTGTTTATAATGGAAGAGTTTTATTCCAATAATTATCATTATTCTAGTGCTGTCAGCAACTGGGTATTCATTTCCTTCATTTTCCAGTGAATCATTATTCTTTTGAGGGGTTGTATTCCCCTGCCTTCTTCTCCCCATGTTTCTACTTTGTGCCATGCTTCTATGTTATTGATTGGCTACTCAGGATTTTAATCACCTGTTATATTTCTTTTAAGTTAATTACTGTGCTGTGACTGGCTTATCATTAGCTACTTTGATGTGCTATTTCTGTTCCCTGTCCTGGAGGTATTTACTAGCAATAACAAATTTGCTCATTCAATATCAGACCAGTTATTTACATAACATATAGAGAACCCCTTGGTGATATTATCCATAGCAGTGGGAATTCAGGGAATAATGGTTCTTTGATGGAGAGGGATACTTAAGTAATTAAAAAGATGGTTCTAGAGGAGGGGGCAGAAAGGAGGCATTGGATGAGGGGAAAAAGGGTGTGAGGTGTGGGGACCATAGGGTAATAAGTCCCTAATGTGTGTTAAAGTGTAGTTCAGTTATCCTGGGAGAGGGTGCTATTGTCAGGGATTACTGGGAGATAGGAAGGATGGGGTAACATGTAAAGTTGGTATAATAGACTATTCAGTGGATGGTGAGAGTTGAGGAGATCAGGCAAGTGGGGGGAAGAGGGGGAAGGAGAGGAAGGTAAGGAGAAGAAAGGAAGGGAGAGAAGAAGAAAAGAAAAAAATGGGGAAGAGAAAGGAAATTGTAGCAATAGATAGCTATTATATATATAAAAATATTGGTTCAATGAATGTTCTGCACCCTCCTCTGATTTCAAATTCAGGTGCTAATGCTTTTTACAGAGGTTTTGGCCCTTCCAATTGTTCGTATGCTGGACTGTGCAGCAGTGGATGTTGCCGCTCCCTACTGGACAGCTTTGGGGATAATCAGCTCAGAGTGTTTGAGCCCAGAATTTCCATGGTGGGATGGGCCATCTGGTACAGGCAGGTTCTCAGAAATGGTCCCACAAGGAGCTGGTATATGAGCAATCACCAGCCCCTTCTACCCACAAGGCAGGCCTGTGGGCTGAATTGAGCTTTTCTCTTGGACGTCTGTCAGTTTCAGCTCATTCCCAGTTTCTCCAAGACAATGCAATGTGTAGTTTCCACCAGAGTGCTGCTGAGTCACCCCTCCACAACACAGGTTAATTCAGCTCACGTTCTGCCTCACACACTCCAGGCAGAGAGGAAATGTTCCCTCCATGTATTTGGCCACCAGTTTTATGGGGCAGGGGGTAAAATGAGCCCCCAGCCCTGCTAGACTATGTGGTTCCCTCTAAAGAAGATGATGTGTTGCTCTCACCTAGCAGGGTTACAGACTCACTGTGGTGAAATGGCTCAGCTCCAGGACAGTGCAGGCAGATGGCAGTCAGAGGTTCTGTGTCTGCACATATCATTGCATGTCATCACAGGTGCTTACAGATCTCTTTCTGCAGTTCTCTGTGTTGCATTTTTGCTTTACCCACAAAGATCAGAAGGAAATAAGAGAAAAAGAAAAAAAAAGGATATAAAGTGGCTTCCCAACCGGAGGACCAACAGACCAGCAGATTGGCAGCCACCTGTCCCAGTGCCTAGCTGTTATGCTCTATAAAAAGCTAATTTAAGGGTCAGTCATTGAATATTGTGTGCCCCTATGTATTGGAGGTATCTTAGTTAGCAGAAAAAACAGGGATACTGGATCCTTGCTATGACAAGAATCCGAAGTATTTGTCTGACTATTGTTTTTCCCTCTATAGAAAGGCAGAAACTTTCCAGATGGCTTCAGCTAATGACCAGGTTTCGATCTCATTGTCAGAAGAAAACACCAATGACCTCCCAGGGATGACCTCCAGTGACATGAAGACAGTTCCCAAAGAGGCAGTGTTAAGTTTTCGTATCATCAGCTACCGAGTAAAAGAGAAGATTGGCTTTCTCCATGGTTGGAAAACAGTTGAGACAGAAGTGCTATCAAATATCAAGTATGTTCATAAACTAAACAGACCACTTTACGCACCTGCAGTGAACTTCACAGGTTTTCCTATTACTAGTTTTGCCTATTACTAGTCAGTGGCTTTGAACATTTGGACAGATAAACAGAGGCACATTTTCATTTCTTTTGGCTAAAACTAGGAGTGAACTGATTGAATCACTTGTTAGATGTATGTTTTACATTCACAGGAGCTGCCATGCTTTCTAAAAATGGTTGTACCATTGACCTTTGAGAAACTGAATGATTAATGTGTCACTGAGGTTTTCCTGGGTAAGCCTGATGATTTGGTGAAAAGAGGCCTGGCTGGATGAGTTACTTCATTTTTCATCATGGGGCTATTGCAATTTGTGAAATGGATTATGCACTGATGAATTTTCTGAGACAGACATTTTACCTTTTTAATTTTTTCAGAATTGTCATGCTAATTTATTTGTGTGAACAACTCATATAAACTAGAGACAACTTTGAATTGCATTGGATACATAGTCAACTCTTTTACTTGTTTTAATTATTATTTACTACTGTTGTACTGGGGGTACATTGTGACACTTACAAAAGTTCTTACAATATATCATAACTGTATTCACCCTCTCCACCAGTATCCTTTGTCCCTCTACCCCCATTTTGGAACAGTTTCAACAGGTCTCATTTTTCCATATTGCTAAATCATATGGCAGTTTTATTTTTAGTTTAGCTCTATTTTTAGCTTTTTGAGGAGAGTCCTTACTGCTTTCCTTAGTTGTTGTACCAATTTACATTCCACCAGCAGTGTATGAGGGTTCCTTTTTCCCGACATCCTCACCAGCATTTCTTGTTTGTGTTCTTGATTATAGCCATTCTAACAGGCATGAGGTGGAATTTTACTGTGGTTTTGATTTACATTTCCTTATAGCCACAGATATTGAGCATTTCTTCATGTGTTTTTTTGTTTTGTTTTGTTTTGCCACTTGGACTTTGTCCTTTGAAAAAGCTCTCTTCAGTTCATTTGCCCATTTCTTCATTGTGTCATTGATTTTAGGGGTAGTTTAGTTTTTGAAATCCCTGTATATTCTAGTTATTAATACCTTGTCAGTTATATAGCAGACAAAGATTTTCTTCCTTTTTTGGGCCACCCCTTCAATATTGATTTGAGAGACACTTTAGATTCTAGTGCACTGAATGTACTTTATGTTCTAGAAGCAAGGCAGTTGAAATGATAATATACTGTAAAGGTCCTTTGCATTTTATTTACAGTAAGTTCATAGTCTGTAGCAATTTACTTAACACTTTTTCTCCATTATAAAGACAGACTAGGGATTGAACTCAGGGCTTCGTGCTTGTAAAGAAGGCATTCTATCAGTTCAACCACACCTTCAGTCCATTCTGCTCTGGTTAATTTAGAGATGGGTCTCACAATCTATATGCCCAGCTTCAAACAGTGATCCTTCCAATCTCAGTCTCCCAAGTACCTAGGATTACAACCATGAGCCACCAGCAACTGTCTTAATAGGCAGAAGATATTTAATATAAAGCAATATATGAGGTCCAAATTGATGAGACCTTCAGTTCCAAATAAATGCAGTTAATACCATTTTAAAGCACCTAGAAATCATGATTTTTTTAATAAGGCATGAGTTTGTAAGCCAGAGCATGCTTGGACTTACATGAGAAGAGGGGAGAGACCATTTCTACAGAGCTACTCACTACTAGGCATCACTAGTAGCTCACAGGTGCTGGCTATTGTGGTAGTAATGATTTCTGAAGAATTGTTCCTTACTTCTCTATGGTATTGGGAAGTGATTTTGATTTTCTCAGACAGAATAACCTATATATATATATTTTTGTTTGTTTGTTTGTTTGTTTAATGGGGAAAACAATTATCTATTGAGAAAATAATTAACTTTTCCTGACCCTCCACAGCTGGAGGGGATTGGTTATAAGAGTCCTTTGACTCAATCTGGCTGCACACTTGAATGGAATCTGATGTTTCTCTTGTTTTCTTGATGTTTTCTATGAGACTGTAGTGTTTTCTGTTAATAGCAACCAACTCCCTTGCAGGGCAAGGAATGACAAGATAGGGTAGGATGCTTTGGCATGTGGTTAGGAGAGAAAGAATAAGGAACTGAGAGTTGATGGCTGAGGCCAAGATCACACAGCAACACCCACTCCCATGCTGAAGACTCTTTCTGTCTGTTTCTTGTGTTAGTTAAGGAATCCTGAGTTGGAGAATAAGGAGTGGGATGGTGCATTTAAAGCTTTTATCCTTTGCTATATGCTTAGGTAGAACTGACTTATATAAAGCTGACAAGCTTTTTGTGAAACACAATAATCAGATTTTGTGCTAAAAAAGGTAGAAGGTAGCATGACTTGAATGAACATGTGCAAGATGAAGAGATGTAAAGTGCATACTGTGTGAAGGCACATTTACCTTGCTGATCTTTCCACATCAATAGACTAGTGAGCAATACACTATGGGTTTCCTGTGCTAAAACATCACAATGTGTTTGTGCTGAATGGTGAGCATCTCAGCAATGGAGGAGGTTATTGGCATTTTCTTAGACTTTTTTAGGCTTATAAAGTGCAGACAAATCTTGCAATTCTCTCAGATTCTGCAATTAAAAGTATAGCAAAGGTTAATATTCATGCTTACTCTCATTTTAGTTTGAGTATCCATGAAAAAGGTGGTTCCTCTTTGGCTGTAGGGTTTCCAATTTTTCTCCTGTCTTCTGGCTTTGGATAAGGAGTGTCTCTGGAGAACAGGAAGGGTGGTTTTCACTATCTTATTTATGTTTGGTAACAAAATCACCATTCAAAATAGCTACTATAACCCAAAAAAGCTGATGAAAATCTTGAATTTCCTTGGGAAATTCCTTTCCTTTCCTTTTGTAACAAGAAGTTAAAAGAAAATCTACCCATGAGAATTCAAATGATTTTTCTCCCTTATTTCTAATTACTCTCTAATGTTTAGTTTGTTTTCATATCCAGTGATTGACTTTTCCCTCACCAGTGCTGAAGATCTGTGGAGGAAATTGTCCATTCCACTAGGTGTGTAGATAACCAATAATTTTGAGGGAAATCCATTATTCTCTCTGGAAATTGTTAAAATAATAATTTATTTGAAATAATTTTAAGCGTAAACCTATAAAATATAACCCTTTCATCTAGATTCCCCTCTATCCAGGTGTCACTGCCTTTTCTCCTATCTCTGTGTCTCTTTGTAGCTGTCCTCCTTAGTGGGTTTTGGAAAATTTGAGGTACAGGCTGTCTACTTCCTCCAGAGTATATTCTCCAGAAGGTAGGACTCTGTCATATATAATCATTCACTCCTTGTGACAGTTGTCATGGAAAATGTGATCTCAGAATGAAAGCAGCAGTGATCCTGAGGGCCACCAGTCACTTTTGCTCCTCACATATTTGCCTAACCAGAGCATTATGCCCTTTCAGTATCATACAACTTGTTATTTTCAGGTAACAACCCACTGCAGGTGATGTTAAAGTGATCACATGGCCATGTTCCTGTCTGCCAAACTACACCATAATATTACCAATTTTGTCTTTGTCCTTGATTCATATTATGAGGGGAGATACTCTGACATTATTTTAGAATCCCGTCCTCATTAAACTACAACTCACCAGCTTCAGTCCCCACTGATGTCTCCTACTTTAGTTAGCTACCACTGTCATAGTTGGGAAAAGGCAATTTTCTATTTTCATCATCTCATAATTTGCTTTCTACTAAGAGGAAGGAGCTTCATTCATCATTTCTTCTTCATTTATTGTACAGAATCATGGCATCATGTTCAAATCAATACCATTCATTAGCAATGCATTATTTGTATTTATCTTCATACCTTTATGGTTCTTGATTTGGTTAGTGGGAGAACTCCCAAAGTGAGTTCCCATACTCCTTTCTATCTTTTGTGGGTGTGTAATTTCTGTTTATAATGTTTTCATTGTATTTTATGTATCTAGTTTGTTTTTGTGGGTTCCTACCATTTATTTTGTCTCCCCTAAGTGTTTTTGTGCATGGAGGCTTCAAGAGAAGGCTCTAAGAAGAGCCTCAATTAGAAGTTGGAGAGATATCCATCCAAACGGAGAAGCAAGTCACAACATAGAAAGACAAGAAATATGAAAAACAAGGCAACCTGACTTCACCAGAAGTTCTTAAATATTCAATAACTGAATTTAGAGATATCAAAGCAGATGAAATGGCAGAAAAATAGTTAAAAAGTCTAAATCTAAAAATGATCAATGCCTTTGAAGGGTGTCCACTGCCACTGTTGTTGTTCAATATAGTGTTTGAATTCTTAGCCCAAGCAACAAGGGAAAAATATATATATAAAATATATAAATAGGAAAGGGAAGATGTCAAAATATTCCTATTTGCAGATGACATAATTCTATACTTACAATATCCTAAAGACACAGTCAGAAAATTCTTATACCTAATAAACATTTTCAGCAAAGAAGCAGGGTACAAAATCAATATACAAAAATCAGTAGCTTTTTTTATACACCTGTAATGAGAATCCTGAGAAAGGAATGCAGTTCATTCATGATAGCTTAAAAATACTTATGTTAAACCTAAGTGAAGAGCTGAAAGACATAACCAATGAAAATGATAAAACACTGAAGAAAGAAATTAAAGAAGACCCTAGAAGATGAGAAGATGTCCCATGTTCATGGAGTGGCAAAATTAGTATTATGCCATGGCTGTATTACAGGAAATGATCTACAGATTCAGTACAATCCCCATTTAAAAAAAATCCAGTAGCACTCTTCACAGAACTAGAAAAAGTAATCCTAACATTCATATGGGATCAAAATGACCTGCATGGTCAAAGCAATTCTTAACATAAAGATTAATGATAGAAGTATTCCAATACCTGGTTTGGAAATACTACAGAACCATAGTAACAAAAATAATAAGGCACTGACACAAATACAGTCATGTAGACCAGTAGAATGGAGTAGAGGACCCAGAAGTATACCCACACAGTTATAGCCATTTGACTCTCAATAAAGGTACACTGTACACTGGAGAAAGATAGACTCATCAACAAATAGTGCTGGACAAACTGTATATCCACAAGTAGAAGACTGTGCTCTCCATCTCTCACTCTTTACCAATGTCAATTCAAAATGGAACAAAGATCTTAATTTAAGACTTGATATTTTAAAACTACTAGAGGAAAATATACGGGAAACACTTTAAGATGTTGGCATGAGCAATGACTTTCTGAATTGGGCTCCAATAACTCAGGAAATAATACCAAGAATGGACAAACGCCATTGCACTAAGTTAAAATTTTCTGCACTGCAAAGGAAACAACAGAGTGAAGAGATACCCTAAAGAATGGAAACAAAAGTCTTTGGCAGTCATTCATCTCACATGGGATTACTATCCAGAATATATAAAGAATTCAAAACATTAACCTTAAAAGAACAAATAATCTACTCAGCAAGTGGGCAAATATACTGGAAAGACACTTCAAAAGAAGTTAAATTGGTCATTAATGAAATGGAAATGTTGGACATCTTTAGCCATCAGGGAACTGCGAATCAAAATGACACTTAAATTCCATCTCGCCTTAGTCAGAATGGCTATTTTTAAGAAACTACTTTGAAGCCAGCCCAGGCAAATAGTTTGTGAGACCCTATCTTGAAAATATCCATCACAAAAAGGACTGACAGAATGGCTCAAGGTGAAGGTCCTGAGTTCAAGCCCCAGTACTGCAAAAAAAAAAAAAAAAAGCTAATGAGGATGCAACAGGAAAAATAACTCTTATACACTGTTGGTGGAAATGTAAATTAGTACAGCCACTATAGACATCAGTATGGAGGATCCTCAAACCCTAAAAATAAACCTACTATGTGATTCATCTATACCATTTCTGGAATAATTGATTTCTTCAAAGGAATCAACATCAACCTACAATAGAGATGCCTGCATACTCGTGTTTATTGCATCAGTATTTATAATAACCAGGACTTGGAATCAGATGAGGTACCAGTGAATGGATGAACAGTTAGAGAAAATGTGGTATACATACACCATGGAGCATTATTCAGCTCTAAGAAGGCACAAAATCATGTCATTCAGAGGAAGATGGATGGAACTGAAGATCATCATGTCAAGAAAAATAAGTCCAACTCAGAAACACAAGAACCACATATTTTCTCTTGTATGTGGAATCTGGGAGAAAGAAAGTGAAAGTAGAATGGGACTAATAAGAAAGAGGAAGAATACAAGGGGGAACAGGAGGAGATATGAGAGAGGGTAATGGGAGGTGAATATGATCAAAATATGTCTTATGCATGTATGAAAATGTCACAATAACCCATTGTTTTGTACAATTTATATACACTAATAAAAAAGTGAAAATCCTGGCTGTCATTATTCTTAATATACTTACTGACTCTGTGGTCAATTTTCTTATTCTCGAATATAAGCATCTGCCTAGCCTCTAGCTGTCTCTTCTCTTTCTCTTACTTACCTACTGAGAAGGTAAGGGGAAGGGCAAATCTTATAGAAATGACTGACACATTTGAACATGGAAAATGGATGAAATATAAATAAGCTTTTTCTCTATTTAGAATGTACTTTTTTTAGTAAGTCAATTCCTCTGATGAACTTTTGTTTATTAGAAATATTTTTTGTTGTTTTCTTAATAGTAATTCTCATTGAAAAAATGTAGAAATTCAGTTATTCAACAAATTTGAATGGCCAATAGGTGCCTGGAATGATGCAAGTTGCTAGTGACCAAGTAAGTCCTGTGTTCTCAGAAACCTTGATGCTTAAAGGGAAGTTCAGAAAGCCAGGGAACTGTTGACTGTAAAGTAGAATGGGGTCAGCATATTCTTCCTATAAAGGGCCAGATCATAAATATTTTCAGCTTTGAGGCCATACATCATGTTGCAACTAAACTATTTTTGTATCATGTTGCAACTAAACTATTTTTGTAGCATGAAAGCCATTACAAACACAACATAAGCCAATGAATCTGACTCGTTCCAATCACATCGCTTATGAAAACAGATAACAGGTGACCAGCTACAATGTTCTGTAGAATGTGAATTGTAAGATTGATAAACTTTGATTTTTCATTTCTTATCTGCTTGTTTTATTCTCAGCTCTTTCCCATGTCCTACACGAGTGTTTTGTTACATACATAGCAGACTTAGTAATTGTGTTGAGTGAGTGGAGGTGCAATTAGCCTCTACTAGAATTAAGAATACTAAAATTAAGAATTCATGGTGCAATATTATTAAAAACAATAATGCCCATGTTTAGTGGCTTTAGTGTCAATACAGGCCCCACAAGGATCGGGTTTGACCAGGTCAAATCATTCTAGATTTCTTGAACTTTATCTGAGTAGGTATTTTTTAAAACCTGGAAAGTTTTTCTGGAAATGAGGCCTTAGTAACTGGCTTGCTTTGGGTCATTTTAGAAGCAGTTACTACATAGCTATGATTAAAGAAGATACATCTAAACTGGGCACCAGTGGCTCACGCCTGTAATCTTAGCTCCTTAGGAGGCAGAGATCAGAAGGATTGCGGTTTGAAGTTAGGCTGTGCAAATAGTTTGAGAGACCCTATCTTGAGAATTCCCATCAGAAAAAGGGATGGCAGAGTGGCTCAAGGTGAAGGCCTTGAGTTCAATCCCTGTACTGTAAAAAAGAAAGATGCATATAGATATAAATGCATATACAGATAAATGCAGTATGAGACTTTCCCAAGTTAATGGGATTTTTTTTTTTTTGGAGTGGTAGGGACTGACTCCAAGATGTCACACTGGCCTGGCATTTGCTCTACTACTAAGATACTCCCAGACCTACTCAATCTTTGCATTACAGGAAAAACCCTCAAAAGAATAAGATATTTCTGTGTTACAGCTTACTCCATGTTTGCAAAATTCTCATTGTATTTTTCTGATGTTTCATGAGTCAGTTAATGAGCAAAGTGAAAACTACATTTCACCTTAGTCCGCTCCCACCATCATTTAATCGTGTTAGTTCAGATACAACAGGCAGTAAAGGCTGAGATCTTTTTGAAATTAAAAGTAGTGTTGCAGGTGTCCTGGCAAGTTTATCACTCATGACAAATGTGTAATCACAGGATGGATTTCTCTGGGCATCACTGCAAGAAGTTTTGACCTCCCAGTTGGAATAGATACAGTTTTCACTGTGGAATCCATCTTGATCTACTGCCCAATGGTAAAGGGAGACTATTTAGACCCCAAGATTTTGGACAGGTGAAGTCAGGCCTGTTATATCATCCCTGTACAACTGCGGTGGTTCTGCTCTTAATTCTCCTTTTTTCCAGTTCATTCTACTTAACCATTCTACCTATAACTTTTACTTTTTTAAATCTCTTTTATTCATGCATGCATACAATGTTTGGGTCATTTTTTCCCCCTTTCCCCAACCTTCCCTATCCCTCCGCCCCTCCCTCTTCCCCTCTATCCTCTTGCTTCCAGGCAGAAACTGTTTTGCCCTCATCTCTAATTTTGTTAAAGAGAGAGTATAAACAATAATAGGAAGGACTAAGTGTTTTTGCTAGTTGAGATAAGGATAGCTATGCAGGGAGATTCCTTGTATGAATAAGATTGAATTATTTGTCTCCTTCAGTCTCAGCACAGGTAACATTACCTCCTTTCTATACATTCAGGGTATTCATTACCCTCACTCATATATTTTGTTTGCTGAAACATACTGATGTCCGTGCTCTGCATGTATATCCTTAAAGAATGCTCCCTGCTGGAGGCATGTCCTAGTGCTAAACTGAGCATTTTCCAGTGCACTTACCAGACACTAAAAGGAAGGAAATGATCTGTCTTGAGGTGCATGTTCTGCTTTCGTAACTGGACAAGATTTTTTTTTTTCTTGAGTGTTAAGCAGTGGTAATCCATTCTTATCCCCCCGGTGTGCTTCATTCAAGCCTTTGGATCTCTAGTTAAGATGTGTTTAAATTTTAGTAGTGAGAACACTACTACTGATATCCTATGAATCAGTGATTAATTAATTGTGTAGAACTTGACTAGGTAGCAAGTGAGAGATTTGGAGATACTGATCATCAGACATTAGTAACAAGCGGTTCTGTACTTGACACTGGGTTAAAAGCTATGATTGCAATGGAGATTCTTCATTAGAATCTTTTATTTCAAAGGCCAACCTTTTCGCCTTTGTCATTTTCTAAAAAGGAAAAGAGGTGTTGAAATAAATAAAAGGAATTCATAGTAACCTGTGCCATTTTTCTTATAGAAACCAGTAATTAACATTCTTCGTATATTACACTTCAATTAATCAACATATTTTTTTTAAGAGTTCATGTTTGTTTTATGTCTATAATTTCATCAGTCCACACTGAGTATATGCAATGTGGACACAAAACTGATAAAACTCATTTAAAGTGGAACAGTAAATCAGTATGCTTTTGTGTTTACAGTGGGATAATGAAGCCTGGCCTCAATGCTATCATGGGACCCCCAGGTGGAGGCAAATCTTTGTGAGTATAACAGGAAGTTTAAGTGAACCTTTTCTGTGCAGGAATGGTGTGTATATATTTACTTATTTATTTATTGTGAGACTGAGGTTTCATTTCAGGGCTTCACGCTTGCAAAGCAGACACTCTCCCACTTTAGCCAGACTTCTAGTCCATTTTTCTTTGGTTATTTTGGAGATAGTGTCTTGCAAACTATTTGTCCAGGCTGGCCTCAAACCATAGTCCTCTCAATGTCAGTCTCCCAAGTAGCTAGGATTGCAGGCCCAAGCCACTGATGCCTGGCTGCAGGGTGCTTTTAAATATTACTTTTACATGAGCAGGTGTTGGCTGAGCATTTTCTGTGCATGTCCAGTGTGGTCCTAGATGGCGTGGATAATATGCCATTGGGCTAGAGTGCGGTTTTTTTTCCCAAGGACCAGAAAGCCCTATTAGATTGGCCTTTTAGTAAAGCCAAGCTTTTTTTAAAAAGCCTTTTTAAGACAGGATAATGTGATTGGTGTACAGTGTTGGGCCATAGTATGAGCTAATGGGCAGAGAGAAGGGATAATACTAAAAGTGGGAAGATGAAGCAGAGGTCTAGAGATGGTGTGAGTTTTAGATAAAGTAGCACATTGCCTGGATTTGGTCCATCAAGGCTAGACAGCAGGAAGATCATTTAGCAAGTATGTTCCAGATAAGCTGAAGTTGTCTTCCTTTTATAGTTTTAGATTTTCTTATAGCACATAATGAATAGAAAGATGAGAATTAAATGCCCTGTATAGCTATCCTTATCTCAACCAGCAAAACCCCTTGTTCCTTCCTATTATTGCTTATACTCTCTCTACAACAAAATTAGAGATAAGGGCAAAATAGTTTCTGCTGGGTATTGAGGGGGTGGGGGGGAGAGGGAGGGGGCGGAGTGGGTGGTAAGGGAGGGGGTGGGGGCAGGGGGGAGAAATGACCCAAGCCTTGTATGCACATATGAATAAAAAAATTTTTTAAAAAATTGAAATAAAAAAAAGAAAGATGAGAATTAAATATTCACATATTATATAAACATTTATAAAAATATTTTATAAAGACATTTATATATAAAAACATGCAATATATAATTATATATACTTTTATAATTATATACGTAATTATGCACATAAATATAAATATAATTATACATTTAATTTTATAATCTTATATAATTCTAGTCAAGCCATAGATCTCTTTTTAATGTATATGAAATTATATAATTTTAGTTTAGTCAATACTTTTTTTTTAACATTTATTTTGACACAGGCTTTTGCTACATAGCCCAGGCTGCTTTCAAATTCATGACCTTCCTGCCTTAGCTTCCAAATGCTGGATTTACATTCATGCACCACTGTGCTCAGCTCATAATTTCTTAACTAGTTAATATTATAATATAGGCAGAATTTGGATTATGAGTAGGTGAGGTATATAGACTGAGTTGAAAGAAAAAAGCCACAATAATATACATCCTTTTATAGGTTGTTAGATGTCTTAGCTGCAAGGAAAGATCCACATGGATTGTCTGGAGATGTCTTGTTAAATGGGGCACCTCGACCTGCCAATTTCAAATGTATTTCAGGTTATGTGGAACAGGTAAGTGTTACCATGTTTCCATTTTAGGTTTTCTATGTTTCTGTGTGGGCAAGTGACTTGGTTTCCAGATGATTATATGACAAGCTCATAGAACCAAGTTTCTCTATACGAGTTTTCATAATGTCCCCTCAGGGTGAGGGTGGTGTTAAATGGAAAGGCAGAGTATCAAATACAACACTTGTAGGGTGGTTGTAGTAATTCTAGCAGATACTCATTCCAAAATGTACTACTGTTGTTCTTTCTGTCCTTCCTTCATTCTTCTCCTCCTAGATGTCTTTGGCAAATCCTTGTACAAATGAGTTGGAAATGTTGGTGGTAATCATCACAGCTGTCTGTGCTCTGCTTGACTGTGCAGATGTGGGTAAAATGACTCCACTGTGATCTGCAGGTGTCTGTATGTGGGATTACTGTACTTTTAGAGTTAAAAGTTCACTACTAGGTAGAACTGTAGTTATTTCTATGGCTTAAGTCCCATATATTAGGGTAATAGAGATGATCATAAAAAATCCTTGATATGCATCACTGAAATTCTGTTTTACCTTAAGGATGATGTTGTGATGGACAACCTGACAGTGAGAGAAAATTTACAGTTCTCAGCAGCTCTTCGGCTTCCAACAACAATGAGGAATGATGAAAAAAATGAACGAATTAACACAATCATTAAAGAGTTAGGTCTGGATGCAGTGGCAGATTTCAAGGTAATGTGAAAAACAAAACAAAACTGTAGAATCATAGGCAGGAAACACAGACATCCAGACCTCTTCCTTGTGGATATTATGAACCTAAACAGAATTTTCCTATACTGTGTGTGGAAAAAGTGAGTGCTTTCGGTAATGATGAGAAAACTGACCAGTTTCTTCATAGGAAAGGGATATTCAGCTGCAGACACTGAACAATTGTTGTACCCTGGGCATGGAGTCTGGTCTTATATGAAAACCTCTCCCCACATGCCTCTTCCACAGGGATCCTCACCTACCTCATTGCTTAAGTAATGGTTCACTTGATTTATGTTCTGGCACTAACTTTTCTTCTTCCTGTTTTTCTCTTTCCTCTTTAGTTCCTCTTCTCCCTCTCTTCTTCCAGGAGAGTTTTCCATTGCTTTTCAGAGGTACATAACTGGAATTGAGAAGTGACAAGGGCCCAAGGACTCTTGTTGTGTATGTTTTACTTTTCTGAAGTTACTCTTCCAACATTTTATTTGGTCACATTAGGATTTACTTCTTATTTGTGCAGTGCTCAAATTTTTTTTCTGTGGCCTTTCTTTTGTTAGTTTTGTCTCTCATCCCCTCCTCTCCCACTTCGTTCTTCCCTTTCGTCAGTATTTATTTCCAGACTTTTATCTACCAGGCTGTGTTAGGCTTTAGAGAGAAGGTTGTGGTCAAGAGAACAGAGTAGATGATGTAGCTCTTCCTTTTGTGGGTGTTCCCAATCAGGAGAGGAGTTGAGATGACGTAGTGAACTTTCAGTTGACCCAACACTATGGAGGTTTTGCTGAGCCGACTTCGGAGTGTTGGGTAAAAATGAGCCATGTAGACTGAAATGCCTTTGTGTAACTCTTGAATTCCCATCTTAGGTGATAAAGAATGGGCTTCACTGGCTGCTGCCATGTACTTGCCACAGCCTTCATGTAAAGAATATTTTGTTAGGAATAACCCAGAGACATCGTCATTTACCACTCACTTTTTATCTAAGTGATTGAGTTCTCTTTGTTTTGGCTTTGCCTGTCCTTAATTTTGTCTTTGCCATTGGGAACTTTCATTGACACTCTTCCACTTTTATTAGTCATTGTCCTAAGCTGCCATCTTAGATTTTCATGGAAAACCTAGGAAGTTGTTACTGGTGTCCTATAACTCATGCAATCTAAATAATTGAAATAATTGTAATATTTTTACTTTTTATGATATTTTAAATGAAAAAGAAATGTAAATAGTCTGATTACTATAATTATGTGATTGTCAGATCATAAGTAAAATCATGTAATTACTAATACTGTTCATCTAGATTTCTCAGTTGTTAAATTCTTATCCAGTAGTTACTATAGCTATTTGTTACTGAAGTATTTTAAAGAAAGTCATACAATATTTCACCCTGAATATCTACTATGGATCTGTAAAAAGAAGCACCTTTGCCTACCCTGCCTGTAATACCATTATAGCTAACAAAATGACCAGCCTCTTCACATCATCAGCATGTAAAGCCCATATTCATTCACATTTTCCAATTGTCTTCATGTGTTTCTAGTTCAGTTGTTAATGGGAGGAGCTCAAACATTTGATGATTGTCTCTTCAGAGAGTCTTTATTTCACAATCATTTCCACTTCCTGCCTCCCTTAAATCGCTTTGATCTCCTCAGTACACCAATGACATCCACTAGTTGAGATGAGCCAGTTACCCTGTGGAGCATCCCCCCTTCTGATTTGTCTGGAAAGATGAATCAGGGATTCTTTTGTGAGTTGGGTGTGTAAACAGCATCAGTTTGGAAAGCCTCGTGGAGATTGAAAAGGAGTGAATACTTTGTGGAAAACATGGACTTTCCTGGCTCCAAGTCTTCTTGGGATATTTTGTGGTGTATGGAGGGGATGTATTGTATAAGACTAATAAATAATAAATTACTATAGATTTCCATTTCTGCACCTGTCATTTTTTTTTTTAGTAAGTCTCACTGAACAGTCCAGGCTTGCCTCCATCACATGATCCTTCCACTTCAGTCCCCCAGTAATGAGATTACAGACGTGCACACCACACCTGGGTTCCTCCTTCTTATCGCCTATCTTACCAGTACTATTTCACTATGTCAAGGTATCTCAGTTTTTCTCTTCACAGGAGAACCTAAATACTTGACTGACAAGGAAATAGAGAACTGTTTAGAGCATGGGTTCATATTAGGTTCACCACTTAGCAGCTCTGATTTGAGTCTCATATTACACATCTTGCAAAGAGAAACCTTTTTCCACCTGTCCATTTTTATGTGTTCTGAGTAATAAGCATAATGAGACAAAGTGTTGCTTTCTGAAGTTGCCACACCTTATTTCACCAAATGATAAGTGTGTCCCGTGTTGTTACTTATTGATAATTGATAATAAGATGTCTTTCAGGTTTCGTGCAGTAGAGAAAGAAAACAGACTATGATAGGAATTGAGCTGATCACTGATCATTCCATCTTGCTTCCTGGATGAACCGAAACTGGTTTAGACTCAAAACAGCAAATTGATGTCCTTCGGCTGCTGAAAAGGTAAATGCCATGGGAAATTTTTCTCATTTATTAACTATCTGGTAACTTGTATGTACCAGATTATTTGGTGTGGTGGATTCAGAAGTAACAGAATCTCTTCCTTATTGCTGGACAGTCAATTAACCAAAAAGTATTATCAGAAAGATGATGCAAAGGCTTGGGTGATGTGGCACACACCTTATCCCAGCTACTCGAGAGTCAGATATCAGGAGCATCAAGGTTCAAGGCCACTCAGGCAAATAGGTTTGTGAGACCCTATTTTGAAAATACTACCGCGTGGCTGGCAGAGTAGCTCAATGGTAGAAACACATGCCTATAGCATGAGACGCTGAGTTCAGAGCCCAGTGCTACCAAAAATAAATAAATAATAAATAAATAAGAAAAGATGTACAAGCATAAAGAAAGATGCTGTGTCAGGTGGGTCCTGTTCTAAATGAGAGATCAGGAAAGATCTCAAGCATGTGATTAAGTGGCTGGTAGTGAGTGTGACCTGCTTACGTCTGGTTAGAAGAAAGTAGTAGTTGGACGTAACAGCCAGTACCCAAGACAGAGCCACCTAATGTGTCTGGAGCATTAAGAGAGCAGAAGGGACAAGATCCAGTGACCTAAAAGAATGGAAGTAAAGCTGTTGCTCTCAGAACAAACACTATAGATTTTGTGCTAGGATACAAAATGAATTTTTTTACAGCTCTGGAGTTCTAGATAGCAAGTATCTGCACAACTGTTTCTGCTGAGGCCTCTCTCATGCCTATGGAGATGACTGTCTTCTCCTCTGTGTGTGTCT